GTTTTCTGTTTGCTTGAGAGAGAAATAGAATCTGAAACAAGACCGACAACTCAAAAGAATCTCAATCTCAAAAGAATGCAAATGGTGACACTGTAAGCATGAAAGAGCCTGTGGTGACACTGACACAACTCTTGCTCCGTGTTGAACATGATGGGTAACATTAACATTAAGGTTGAGAAAATTGGCTTTCAGGCCAGATAGATGAGACATATGGCCATGTTGATGTCACGGACAACATCTTGCTGGTGTCTGAAGTGAATATGCGCAGCTGTGGACCGTTATGGTGCCAGATGCCCTGAATCAAGAGCCATCCCTTTCCTGTGTGCATTTACTGCGGTACACAGCTGCCCTCTAGTGGAGAGCTCAGCTCAGTGCTCATATCACCATTTGGGTTTTATTCTGATTAATCATGCAGTCAGCATATCATAAAGACTTGTGGGTGGACTGTTTTGACACGAGTCAGTAAACAACCACCCAGAAACACAGCAGTGTGTTTTAATGTCTGCTTTTAAATTTGCATCGTGATATTTTGAGCATTGTTTTGCTTAGTAATATTACCTCTTATGCATGTGTTTTGCATATGCATATGACAGTGGCTGAGATATGAATTTGCACGCATAAAATCCTCGACAGAATATATGAAAGACTCCCTGTTTGTGGCAGACGCTTCCAGTTTTCTGCACTCATACCTGATGACCGTAATCAGATCATGTCTGCTTTTATACACGTGTCACGTGTCTTTAACTCTACTCGCGTTTCCAGCAGGACTAGATTCCAGACCGTGAGATCTGTGTGCTCGACTGTCTTCCTGTTAGACATCAAACCTGTGTGACTGCTGGATGTAGGAATGTGCATGGAAAACAGACGTGGAACCAGAAGCAATGAATCATGATTACTTCTTGATTTGAACGTGTATTGCACTTGCTGAATTAAACATGCAACATATTGGCATCAAGTAATTTACTATTTGAAACTGTTGCACTCATTTTTTTATTGTTGCACTACTTTCCTGTTTCCTGTAGATATCTCAGTCAAACGGACTGCCAAAGCATCCTATCCTAGGGTGAGTATTAATGGGTCATGTTTGTTGTCTGTCCTCAATGCTTGTGATGTGACTGATCAACTACTGAATTGGAATCCAATTAGTTAGAAGTTACAGTTTTTAACGCTATTAAAGCGGCGCTGTGCAGAGTGATACTTTGATGTCACACACCAATCGGTCTGCACATCGCCACTTTAAGTCGAATGGTGATCAACATGATCGTGACGTAGCCTATAGAATGCAGTTATATGCGCCTAAAATTCAAGAGATTGGGGCGAAAATGTCCCTGTATGAGTTTTTGTCTCATATTTATATCATATGATACAGTTAAGCAATATCACACGAGTGCTGTTTTTGTCCCGAATAGCACAAGTGCAAATGTGACGATTTTATACAACAGTTCGATGAACTGTTATATTTTAGACACAGTATTGTCTGCTTCTGTTCAGTTTTGCCAATGCAAATATTACCTGTTAAAGCCGCAGCAGAACTGTTGAGCGTCTCCAAGCAGCACACAATTCCTGAATGAACCTGCGTTTTGAACGAATAGTATGAACCAATGATTCAATGGCCCATTCATAAAGAGAAGCATTGATTTCATTCTGTTTGAAGAATCGAATGAATGAATGACTCACTCATTAAGACATTTACCCTCATCTACTTTCTGTTTTAGTTTCTTATTTAGAGTATCATTTTGTTAAAAATAATTTCATATTTACATATTAATAAAAAACTAATTGAAGGGATAGTTCACCCAAAAATTAAAAAAAAAATTCTAAAGCTACTTTTTTTTATATCCATTTCATGCATTTCTCATGCAGCCCAATAATGACTGTAAATGATCTTTTGTAGGTAATTTCTCAGCCAAATTTGATGTGCAATTAATATGTGATTAATTGCCACATCATGTAAAAAATGTTAATCTATTGACAGCCCTATTGTAACACATAAAACCACTCAGAACACCCTAGCGGCATACTGCATTGTTAGACACAGAAGTTTTGCACAGGCAAGCACCATTCACAGTTCCTGAAAAACGTGTACAAATCTGGATGTTACATTTCTTTTAATCCGGTCTGAAATACTGCGTGTAAGCAGTCTCTGTATACGAGCAGCTGGAGCAACGGTATGTTGTGTCTGTAGGGGAGGGAATCCATTCGCTACGGTCAAACTTCGGCCCACAGTCACCAATGACAGATCAGCCCCCGTCATCTGATCAACACCACAGAGACCCGCCGCCGAGGATGCTGGGCTTATGCACACACACACCACATACTTATTTATGTCAGTCCCCTTTAAACCTCCATCTCTCTCTATGCATATATATATAACGTGTGTATGTAGAGAGGGAATTAATATATATGCATTTAGTTGTAAGAATCAGGAGTCAGATGCTTAACTTTCAAAGTATCATTCTGTAAATACATGAGAAGATGGGTGTGATTAAGATGAAGTTTTTTTAAATCATTGTGAAGATATTTTGTAACATGTACACTAGACTGGAACCTGCGTTAGCAGGGAAGTCCTGATGATAGTGATGAAACACCGATGAAAAATTATACTTACTGTAGATGCTGTCTGAACTGGCCTCTAGTCCTTAACACACTTGACCTGGTAGCTAGTGGAACGAGCTGAGTGTGACGTTCATAGATTGGAAAGCAGAGCCATGTCTATGTACAGTACGCATGTTTTCCAGAGTTAGCAGGCTAACTCACTCAGCTGGCCTTTAGTCAGCCAAGTCGAGCTCCAGTTTGACCCGGAGACGTCCAGTGTGCAAGCAACACCGTCATCTACAGAAGAGCTTTTAGCTGCTCATCAATGCTTTTAGAACAAGGGACCTTTGCTTTTATCAGCGTAGTCTCAACACTGAATAATGATCCGTTGTCGGTCAGTGGATAGTGATTTATTTATCTTCTGCTGGGGGGAAACTATTCATTTGGCTTTGATTGTATCAATGCACTTTTCTGTTGATGTTGGCCTGAGATCTTGTAGATCACTGCTGTATGACAATAAAATATTTTGTTTCTAAATGTGTGCTTCTGTTAAAATATGAGAGGTATGTTGCAACTCCAGAAGAGAGAATGAATGAGTATGAATCATTTAAAGTCTCTGTAAGAAATGCTTCTGTACTTGGTTTTTCCAGTGGTTCCTGGACGGTTCCTCCAGTTAACTCAAAAATGAAAATGTACTCACTATCCAAGATGTAGATGAGTTTGTTTCTTCATCAGATTTGGGGAAATGTAGCATTGCATCAGTGTCTCAGCAATGGATACTCTCATTCTGACGGCACCCATTCACTGCAGAGTCCAAACAGCTGATAAAAACATCACAATAATCCACAGCACTGCGGTCCATCAGTTAATGTCTTGTGAAGTGAAAAGCTGAAACAAATCCATCAAGACGTTTTTAACTTCAAACTTTTCTCCTAGCTAAAATTCAAGTCCTCTATCCATACTATTGCTTTCTCCTGGCACCCATTCACTGCAGAGGATCCATAGGTGCGCAAGTGATGTAATGCTACATTTCTCCAAATCTGTTCTGATGGATGAACAAACTCATCTACATCTTGGATGGCCTGAGGATGACTAAATTGTCATTTTTGTTTGAACTGTTCCTTTAAGTCAGACGTTGATGTGCAGTGCTGTGGAGGCTCCAGGAATGCTTTTGAAGCCCTGGTGTAGACTGACAAACGCTAGTTAACCCTCAAACTCTGACATGTACATAATTTATATTTTTTAATGAAGCATTGTTTGAGGTGATTTTAGAATTTAGCAAAAAAAAAAAAAAAATACAAAAAACCTGCATAAGTAAATTTCACCAGTTATAATTTATACTAGAATATATGCATGAAAATGCATTAGGTTACATGTAGAATTGTGATTTTAACTTTTTTTTTTCCTTGCATCTCTAATGTTATAAATGTATAATCTATTTTAATAATTGCAAACGTGTTCAGAAATCGATATTTGAAATGGAAATCTTTCGTAACATAAATATTTACTGTCACTTTGGATCAAGCGAAAAATAAAAAAATTCTTTATAGATAAGGTCAGAGATGAGGAAGTTCGAGGTACGTTTCGCTGATGAGAAAGTTCAAAATGTTGTTCTATTTCTAGGACGTCCCATATAATCATCAAACACAAACAACAACACTTGTAGAATTTATTTACAATCTCTCTTAATGTAGAAAAGTTCTAACTGATCATAATAGCGTGTCTAGTGTATGGTACGAGTACATCATGAATGAAATCACACCGAGACTGATTGTCAATCACTGGAAGAAACCGATAAGAGAAACAGAGTAACTACGTGTCTGGGTGACATATCACATTGTCTAGATGCCAGCTTCCCTTGTTTATTGCAGGTTTCAGTTCAACCTGGATATGGCCGAGGTCCATATTTATCCTCTAAGATGCTTTCAGAAAACCCAGCACATAGAACACAGATCATCAGTGCAGTGATGAAAACATGGCCCCCAAAATAACAGACTCTATCGAGAAAGAACGTGGTCTGAACTTGATTCAGAAATCCAAGATATACAAATAACAGTGTTTTTTTTTAAATCAAGCACAAAAAAAAATTTAACACAGAAAATGCTTTTTGATCTTGACTAAGATGTGACTGATTAGGGAGCATATTATAGTCAACAAAAACAAAATGAACGACAGTGATGCTCATTTTCACGTTTCATTTACACACACAATGTTACTCGAAGTGAGTGGTGGGATTTACCCTCAGTGAGTCCCGGCTCGTTTAGTTTATGCTTTCTCTGCCATCATAAAGGCACTAGTGATTAGATGACTAGAGACTGGCTTTTATATAAAGAACAACAAAATCAGCAAATAGCGCTTGCGAGGCATGTAAAAACATGGATAGCCGTCACATGCACCATCTTATATTAATCAAAGAGTTTGTGGCTAGAAATCCAAGATATACAAATAACAGTGTTTTTTTTAAATCAAGCACAAAAAAAAAATTAACACCGAAAATGCTTTTTGATCTTGACTAAGATGTGACTGATTAGGGAGCATATTATAGTCAACAAAAACAAAATGAACGACAGTGATGCTCATTTTCACGTTTCATTTACACACACAATGTTACTCGAAGTGAGTGGTGTGGGATTTACCCTCAGTGAGTCCCGGCTCGTTTAGTTTATGCTTTCTCTGCCATCATAAAGGCACTAGTGATTAGATGACTAGAGACTGGCTTTTATATAAAGAACAACAAAATCAGCAAATAGCGCTTGCGAGGCATGTAAAAACATGGATAGCCGTCACATGCACCATCTTATATTAATCAAAGAGTTTGTGGCTGGTTACTAACTTAATGTTACGTAAGCGACGTTTGGCATTATCATGTGCAGTGATTACAGACGAACTATGCTGATGCTTAAAACTGAATTAAAAAGACGACGGCCGGGTTTTGGTCCCTCTAGCCGAATGTGGCTCCACAGTTTGGACATCTCCTCTGACGCAGGGCCAGGCAGAAGAGAATTCCCAGAGGAAAGAAGAATATGGCACACAAGATTCCCAGACAGGTGAAATCATCCTCCAGCACGCCGACCCTGGACACAGAACAGCGCCACGCTCAGATCCCATTATTCTGAAATATTATTACAATTTAAAACAACTGTTTTCTATTTAAATATATTGTGATTGTCATTTATTCCTGTGATCAAAGCTGTATTTTCAGCATCAGTACGCCAGTCTTCAGTGTCACATGATCCTTCAGAAATCATAATAATATTTATATACCAATTGCAATAATATTTCACAATATTGATCCCCAGCGACTTAACACTGCTTTTGTGCTCCAGGGTCACATATTAAAAGCATTTAAAAATCACAATTATTCCAAATGTTTGACTGGTAGTGTATGACTGGTTATTTAATTAAATGATTAAAACCCTCTTTGTGTTTCCCCCTGGTATGACTTAAGCAGCATTTGATTGATTCTGAACTTTATTAGCTCCAGAAAAGCATCAATGTGTATTTACTTCATTAGTAAAAATGCTTATCAAATAAAACATTCGTCCCACATATAGGATGCTTTGTCCAATCTAGCCTGTCCTAAAATGTGTTCGACACCCCTGATGGAAGAGAGTCCTCTTGGGTTGTTAAACCCCATCAGCACGAGTTGAAACAGTAAGAGCTAAAAATATGCCAAAACCAAAGTTATTTTCACTCTCTGCTGCAACCATTTCTCTTCCAAATAAACCTGAAAATAGCATCGGTCTGTGGTTCTGCTTTCTTATCATTGTCAAGTCAAGGGATAGTTCACCCAAAAAAATGAAGCCTGTCTTCATTCCAAACCCATAAGACTTCTGATTCGTCTTCAAAACACGAAGCTATTTTTGTTCACCCATTAAAAGCCCATGCGACCAAAACTTTAAAACTCAAAGAAGTTCATAAAGATATCATAAAAGTAATTCATGTAAATCCAATGGTTTAATGAGTTGTGTTTGAGGACAAGCCTCACTGGTTCTGGTGTTCCAGCGGTTTGCCATATTTGATGTGCTCTATGTGTGCGCGTGTTGATTAATGTTCATCGATGGCTTTTAATGTGAATAAAAGCCTAAATTAAATCTGCTCATCATATAAAGTGATCATGTCTCTCCAGAAGACTTGGATTAAACCTGCAAGAATCAAATGGATTACTTTTATGATCTCTTTTGGAAGTTTGACATTTTAGAGGGACAGAAATCCCTTATGTTTCATTAAAAATACCGTGTGTTTCGAAAGATGAAAAAGTCACACAGGTCTGGAACAACATGAGGGTGAGTAAATGATGCCAGGATTTTCATTTTTGGGTGAACTCTCCATAATGTTAAAACATGGATTATCATACAAGTAGCTTCACACCGTGTCCTAACTACACGCGACGCCGCGACACGCGATAAAAGGTATCTTTTCCATGTTAAGCCCCGTTCACACCGCCAGCGACTTTTTCGCTGCTTGTCGCTTGTGGCTGGCAATTGATGTCGCTAGTGGGCGTTCCCACTACTGGTTGCCTAGTTACCCCGTAACACTCCACTACAGCAGATGAATCACGTGCTCTCCACTGACTTCACTCCCATTGGTTGTCGCTCGCGAAATTCGCTGCTTATTTGCATAAAGTTGAAGAATTCTGAACTTTTGTCGCTTGACTCGCATCGCTTGACACGCCCACATTCCGTCGCCAACGGTCACTGTCGCCGGAAGTCGCCAGCTCTCCATTGAAAATGAATGGGATTATGTCGCTCTGTGTCGCTGGCGGTGTGAACGGGCCTTTAATCAGAGTTTTGTCCTAACTAGCCGCGACACGCGAAATTTCTAATTTAGAAACGCTTTCTATTTCCGCGACGTCGCGGCTGGAACAACAACACACAAACTATATGACTGTAGATAATCTCAGGTGATTATGTGCTTCTTTCGAAGTTAAACGTCTCTAATATGAGTTTAAATATAATGTTGTGTGACCTTATAGCCTTCTATACTGAAAGCAACAACAGATTTGTTTTTTACCTCAGATCTTGAAAATATCTAAAGCAAAGATGTCCGTTAAAACTGTGAACTCACTGCGAACCAACGAATGTATTCCATAACAACGATGTTATCGGTCACTCAGTATGTACATTTAATGATGTTACAAAGCTTTAATATTTATGAATTAGATTATAAGCGTATCCATTTCGTTGTGAGTGCAGTGCGCTTCCAGAGAGAGCCCGCCCACACACGCTTCTGATTGGCTGTGATATTCAGGGTTGCCAGGTTGCCAACAAAACCCGCCCAATTGCTACTCAAAACTAGCCCAATTGCGTTTCGAGGGGGGTCCCCCGATAAAAATTGCGTTGGGGGGGATAAAATAAACGTTTTTTTGGCGCGGTTCCCCTGGTAAAATTTGCGTTTTAGGGGCTAAATATCACGTTATTGGAGTCGCTTCAACCCGCGGACATGAAAAACAACCCGTGGCAACAGTGTTAAAGTAGCCCAATTCTGCAGAAAAACCGCAGACTTGGCAACACTGGTGATATTTGATTGATTCTGTCGCGTCGCGTTTCAAATTTCTTGTCGCTGGACTCTTGTCGCGTCGCGTGTAGTTAGGACACGGTGTCAGAAAGCACAAGTACTTTACATTTCAATCATGAAATGCCTGTTATTGTACTTTTATATGAGATTTTTAAAAAAAATCTATATCTATGGTATGTATGGTATAGTACAGTATTGATTTAAAAGTTGGAAAGGAACCACAATCACAGTTTGTTTTGTGGTCGTGCTTACTAAACTGGACTGATCTGGTGCATAAACCAAAGTTCAGAGTGAAATCAGCGTGTCAGGAGGGACTCGTGATGTGGCAAGAATCATGCGCAAAACAGGAAATGATTCTGGATTAAAACAGTCCAATGTAAGGCCACATTCGCAGTTTAAAACACACATGCTCTTACAGTACGGTTTTAATATAAAACATGGACACCTCAAAAAATCTGATTCTACAAATCACATAAATTTTTTTTTTTAGGGTTGGGGGGGGCATCTAGTCATCACATGACATAAGTTGCATGAGTTAGCAGTAAATATGCAGTCACAAGGGAACAGGATGATAACAGGGCGGATACAGAAACCACGGAATTCCGTAGAACTTCCTAACATTCCATAAAGTTCTGACTGTTCGCCTCACCTGCAGGCCGGACATCCCCCCACCACCACCACAGAGGGCTGGACGATGGTGTAGGTGCTGGTGTAGGCTGGCTGGCTGGCTATGGCGGCAGGTGGTGCTGGGGCCGCTGGATAACCTGAAGTGGCAGCTGGGAAACCTGCGGGACAGAGTTCAAATCCATTTAACACTCCACATTACCCACGTTATCACCTCAGATGCCGCGACTCCCTGTGATGAGCAGAAGTGATGTTTCATGAGCTATTAGAGCGGAAACTATAGCTGAGGAAAAAAAATTAACTTAAATGATTTTAGCAAATGGCTGCAATATAACAAAGAGTGAAAAATTTAAGGGGGTTTACAAATGTGTGCCTACAGATATATGTAAATGCATGACATACAAGTTTGAATAGAAATGACAGTGAAGTATACTTTACGGATCTAATTCTGAAATAACAAAGATGTTCTTAAGTTCTACTTAAGTGGGTCAAAAGCTAATTCAGCTAATTGCATTTAATGAAAATGTATGCTATAATACATTTTCATTTAATTGTAAATAACATGCTGAAGTATCCTGGAGTGCACTTCTTTTTCACAAGGATATAAACCCCTGAGACAATCAGTAAACTGTCAGTGATTAGTTAATAACTAACTAGCCCAACCACATTGTGTACAGTACGTGACTGCTTTCAGTGTATCTATGGTCTCTATTATAAAACGACATATAAAAACAAGTGGCAGCTACTGAATGATTACCTTATTCATATACCATGACATTTACATGGTATATAAAAACATCCCATTCTTTTAGAATCAAACATGAAAAGATTCGTATGAGTTGGTTCTTTTAAATGAGCCTGTTGCAAAAGCTGCTTAGACTAGTTTTACAAGTTAGTCACATGATTTATTTTTATTTTATTTTACCCTTAAGGACTGGTCATAACTAAGTCAGTTGTATAAACCGTAGAATGATTAGTTAGTTGGTCAGACTAGACTAGCCAGTACAGTCCTCTTACTGAACCAGCTCTTTTTAGTGAATCACGAACCAGACTGATTCATGAATCATGATTTATGAATGAATGAGTCAGACATAACTGAATTAATCTGATTTACGCACTGTGATTTATTAATCTGTTAAATTATTAACTGTAAGTTATTAATTTGACCATGTCTGATAATTATTATTATTGTTGTTGTTTTTTTGTTTGTTTTTTATACTCAAATCAGTGCAGTATTATCAGTGTTGGGGGTAATATATTACAAGTAACGCGAGTTACGTAATCAGATTACTTTTTTCAAGTAACTAGTAAAGTAACGCATTACTTTTTAATTTACAAGAGAATATCTGAGTTACTTTTTCAAATAAGTAACGCAAGTTGCTTTTTTTTTTCCAATTTATTGATTGACAGCTCTGGTGTCCTCATGTTGAGAGAAATCAGAAGATGTTAATGTAGTTCTAAAATAAAACACACACACACTGTTTCTGTCTCAAATAAAGGAGGTGTGAAGAAAGAGTACCTGAAAACCATACTTGAAAAATATGAGTGAAAAATTACTCTACTACACGTTACAAGTCACCAGTTTCAAAACAACTTGAGTAAAAGTCTCAGAGTATCTGATTTTAACAGTACTTAAAGGCAGAGTAAGTGATTTCTGGTAGCCAATGTTGATATTTGAAATCACCAAAACAAACACGCCCCTACCCCAAAAGGGTCTTGCCCCTATTTTGATAGCTCCGCCCCACATATACGTACGCAACCCAGGCAACGATTAGTTCTGTGAAACAAAGCAAAACCAATGTTACACCGTGTCTACGGACGTGAGCGGCGCGGCGCAACAAATCCCGACAGAAAACTGCTGCCGGGTTCTATTTATGACGTGCTGACACACATTTCAAATGGTTTTCAACGGTCGTTTGATCGCGTCCAGTGTAGGCAGACTTTAGCTGTTGTAGACACGGTGTTACTCACCTACTGAGAAGAAACAAAGCAACCTCGGCGTCCGATCGCAGGCCTCCGCTCCTTGAGTTCTCTCCAGCGCTGGAAAGCTGATCCGATATTTACACGGGTCCTACTTCTTGCCTTATCGTTCCGCAGACGTTTTCCTCTTTTGTTTTTTATCCGCCATCTCTATCTTTCTGTCGCTCGGCTCGGCTAATGTCCGTCCCATGCACTGAAAGCTCTCTCCTCCACATCACGAGTAGACACGCCCCTTATTGCTGATTGGCTACAAGTTTGTTTTGCGATTCGGCCCGAATCAGTTTTCTAAAGTGTTTTTGAAAAATCACTTACTCTGCCTTTAAGTATTTTACTCATACTGTACTGAATATAGGCTCAAAGATGCACTAGTCAAAGAGACACACCAGTGACATTAAATGGGTCCACTCATAGAAACTGACATGTCGCAATCACATGAGCAGTGAACGGATGAAAATATAAGTTATTATTTACTGTAAACAATGTTTAGCCGTATCAATAAACCATTTTATCTGGTTCCCAAAAACCATGGGACAGCCCTCTAAATGGCTGAATCTCTTAGCAGTGCAAACACTACGGCTCTGTGGTGATTTAAAAAAATGGGCCTGCATGATTCAGTCCTGGTTCAGCTGATGGCAAGGAAATTACACATTATGGGCTCTCTGTCAACATCTGTGGTCCATTGAGGTCCATTCAGGACTGAATTAAGAGTGAATGCAGAAAGAATGCAAAATTTCAGTTTTAGTTTAAATTTAAGGAAGTAGAGCAATGAAAACTTAATGAAGACAACAGAACAAGAATAGGAAATTATATCTTTAAAGAGGACCCCTGCAGACCCTCGTGACTTTGAAGGTCAGTAAGTCAGTAAAAATCAGATAATTTTTCCTTTCTATGACATGGCAACTTAGTTCAGGTTTTACAGTAAAATATCATCTTCCCAAAATACTTAATATATATATATATATATATGTAAAATTTAATTATTACATTTCAAGTTGTTTTATGCTGATTGTGCATGTTGTTTGCCGTTAGCTGTAATTAGAATCTACAAAAATACTTTTTGCTATCTGTTAATTTGCGCTTAAGTGGCAAACTGTACCACCGTAGTTTCAATTTCAAGCCAAATGCATGCTGTATAGGCTTTGAATCGGCTGAGTCCAATTTTTTTATCTGCTGCATTCGACGGTTAATCATCAAATCCTTCTGTCCACCCTCTCATCGCTGGGCATCACGGGAACTGCACTCCACTGGTTTGAGTCTTACCTCACAGGTAGGTCCTTCAGGGTGTCTTGGGGAGGAGAGGTATCCAAATCACATCAACTGGTCACTGGGGTTCCTCAAGGATCAGTCCTTGGACCCCTCCTCTTTTCTATACACACTACATCACCAGTACCCGTCATTCAGGCACATGGCTTTTCGTACCATTGCTATACTGATGGCATGCAGCTCTACCTCTCATTTCAAAGACAGAGCTTATCATCTTCCCATCCACCCCATCAGTACAGCACCAGTTTACCATCCAACTGGGCTCATCAACAACAATCCCATTGAGTGTATATATTTGAAGCTGTTATTAAATAAAATACTGTCTAAATAATGTGCTGCTGCTGCTGCTGTAGTGTCCTCGAGGGCCCATGTTGGCCGGGTCCCCGCCGCTGTGGGTGCTGGATGTGTACTGGCGGGTGTTCAGTCTGTCTCCTGCTGGAGCTCAAGCGGGTGACGGGCTCTCAACACTGTTGCTGGGGCATCGGCTGCCACCATCAGCTTCATCTCCATGTGTACGCCAGTCAAGTGCCTATACGCCATCAGGAAGAGACCTACGAAAACCAGGTGTGTTGGAAACATTTATTTATTTTTTTAATCAAAATTTCTATTAAACTGTGATTTATTTGCATGATATAAGATACTGTACCTGTGTATTTGCAAAGCACGTGCAATGGTAAAAAAAGTTTAAGTTAAACTGTAATACATAAAACGCACTTTGCAAATTAAATAAACTGGTAATATTCACAAATAACAATAGCACGCTATCAAATCAAATAGCAAAGCAGAGTATACAGAAACAATGAAAACCAATATTTATATATATATAAATTATATAGTGTATATATTGGCCAGAGGTTTGGAATAATTAAGATGTTTGAATGTTTTTGAAAGAAGTCTCCTGTGCACACAAAGGCTTCATTTATTTGATCAAAATGACAGTAAAAACAGTAATATTGTGAAATACTACTACAAATTAAAATGAACTGTTTTATATTTGAATATATTGTAAGTTGTTGTTTATTTCTGTGATGCGCAGTGTCACGTGATCTTTCAGAAATCAGTATAATATGCTGCTCAAGAAACATTTCTGATTATTATCGATGTTGAAAACAGTTGTGCT